TTTTTTTTCACTTACTCATAAAATTAAAAAAATTTTTTGAATATTTTTTAAATTTTTATTTTTATTTTAAACTTAGAAAAAAAAGTTTTCTGTCATATTTTTATTTGAATTTTTAACTTTTTTTTATTTAATTAATTTTTATTTTTTTTTAATTAATTCACACACAACTTTATTTCATTCATTCAAAAAATTCAAAAAAAAATTTTTTTTTGAATTTTTCGAATGAGCGAAAAATCTTTTTCGAATTTTATTTTTTTAGTTTAATTTTAAAATTAAAAAATTTCAAAAAAAAATTTTTATTTTATCTTTTTTTTTAATTTTTTTATTTAATTAATTTTTAATTAATTCTCATTAATTCACTCATAACTTCCCCTTTCACTCGCTCAAATTAATTTTTATTTTTTTTCAAAAAAATTAATTAGCTGTCAATTTTATTAGCTAACAAATTACTTCAAAACCCCTCTCATTCATTAACTTCAAAAAATTAAGCTTTTCTCATTTATTATCCCTCACTCTTTTTTATTCGCCCCCGCCTGAATAAATACCTACCTAAATACACCTCTCTTTATTTAAATTAACGTTGGAATCATTTATATTTAGAAATATTTAAATAATTTTTTGGTCTATCTACTCGACCAGAAAAAAAAATAAATTTTTAAATGGGAGGGAGTATAAAGTAAACTGAAAGGGGGAGCTTGGCTAAACGTCCAAAAAACCGGATGTTTAGCAGAGTAGGAACCCATAAAATAAGGAAAAATAGGGGAAAATAGGGGGAGAGGGAAGGAAAAAGGCAAAAAGAGAAACAAAATTCAAATACTAAAAACTGTCAATTAGAAAATAAAAATTGAAAAAAGGAAAGAAAAAGAAACGAAAAAAGAGCACATATTTAAATGTTGGCACTCATTCATTTATTTATATTCTGTTTTGTTGGAATATAAATGAATGAATTATTGAATGAATACCAACAAAAAAGCGTGTGCTTGGGTGAACGTTTTTAAGAAATAAAAGGAAAAATGTTAAAGTGTAGAAGGAAGGCTGAGGATTTTTAAAAAAATGTTTTAAGTGCTTAAGGAAAAAAAGAAAAGAAAATGTGAAGCTTTTAGAATTAATAGGCTCAATTATTTTTGAGAAAATTTATTTAAATTTATTAATGCTGAAAATTAGCATTTAGAAGAAGAGACAGATTTTATTTGAGTACACCTCTCACCGGGATATTTTTTTCCGGATTTTTTTTTGGATTTTTTCTGGATTTCTGCTTTATTGTTTGTTAAGAATATATTAAAAAATAAAATTTTAATTAGTGTATTTTAGTCATTAAATAAGGCACTAGTGCCCTCTCCCCATGGAAGTTGACCATAGGGAGGAAATGGCACTAGTACCACAAATACTTGAAAGGTCCTATTTTATAGTCAAAAGTAAGGTAGCATCCTGAGCCTTTAGGGCGGGAGTGTCAGGTTTCAGGGTTTGTCGGGTTCTGGTCGCCTAGTCAAAAGTCCATGCTTTCGTGAATACGGACTTCTAGTCGCTCATAATAATGTTTTGGTAGAGGAAGTATATAATTCAAATATAGGGGAAGGTACTTAAAGTGGATTCATAGTTGACATGAACCTCCTCTTGGTCCCAAAGTAAAATTTTTCCTTGATCCTAAAATAATTTTTTTCAAACCCTAATACCGCCAATACAAAAATAAAAAAACACACCGACCTTTTCTCTTTTTTTTATTTTAGTCACGTTTCCCCTTCCCTCCATTATATCTCTAGTTGCTGCCAACCGCATCCACTATTTTTTTAAATTTTTTTTCTTTTTCATTTCCCAGTATTGACACTTACGTAAATAAATATATGTATTTATTCATATGCGTGCGCCAAACTTTTCTTTCTTTTTTTTTTCATCTTTTCGATTTTTTAAATTCCCTGCCGTTTCAATTTTTTATATATTTTTCCCCCGCTCGCTCACGTCGATTTTTAATCCATTTCTTCATTTAAATTTACTTTTTTTAATTGAGAAATTTTTTTTATTTGTTTTTAATAATTATTTGTTTTTATTACTTATTAACTTGTTAATTATCCCCCTCCATCCTCCCACGTTCCCTTCTCCCATTTTGTCCCCCTCATTATTTTATATGTGTATCAGGGATCCTGCCGTTTCAACTCTCGAATATTGTAAATTCCCGGCGTTTTTTGTTCGGGAATCTCGACGCCCAAAATTGACAATTAATTTTTTACATTGGCAGAATTCCTGGTAGAAAGATTTTTCGGGATATTTTACTCGTTTACATAGCTAGATGCACTCCTAGCTCCTCTGGAAACTTCCGGGAATCACTTTAAAAAGTCCGGAAAACGTCCATTTTGCTTGTTAAACTTTCAAGAAAATTCCCCCTCTCTCTACCCCTTCCCTGCAAATTAAAATACTAATTAAAAAATTAAAATTCTTTAGCTTAAACAATCAATTTCGTCATCATTATATTACAGCTTTATATAAAAAAAATTTTTCTTCACTATTTCCTCTATCAATTACACAATCTTTGTTTAATTTAATTAAATTAGTGAGAAAAAAATATTTTTTTAATTTCTTAAGAAATCTATCAAACAAAATCAAGTAATTAATTACTTACTAATTTGTCTTCTTTCACCAAAAAACGGAAATTGTTAAAAATGAAGGTTTGGTCTCTTTAATATTAAACTCTTTCATTTACTCATCTCTCCAAGTTGTTAATTAATTTTAATTTTGTTTACCTATTAGTATTTATTTATTTGACCAACAACAACATTAATTTGTGCAACTAATATTTTTAACTATAATACTTTTTTTTAATTTCCGTATTTTTTTTGCTTCGGGATTTTTTTATTCTGATTTTAAATAATTTTTAAATATTTCTTTTTAAAGAACATTCTGCTTTTATCTTCCCCTGAATAATGTCTCTTATTTGTTCCAATCTAATCCAGCTTCAGTTCCAAGTTACTTTAATATGAGTCAGAGAATAACTATGTGCCTAAAAAAGAATTTTTTAATATAAAATTTAATTTTTAAAATATTTAAAAATACATTTTTTACCTTTTCTAATTACAATATTTTATTTTCTCTTCGACCTCCATTTATCTTTTTATATACCTTCTCACGCATTTTTCAAAACTTTTTGTATCGGCCGCCCTTTCCGCCCATTTTACTCTAAAATTGTTTTTCTTTCCGTTCAAACGTCCATTTTATATATTCTTTTTTTGCTCGTTTTGTTGGTTAACTAGATGTATTTTAAAAAAATATTTTGGTGGGTCGCCGTTTTATTTTATTGTTTGTGTGACTTCATTTTTAATATTAAAAGAAATTTGTGTTTTAGTTTTTCTGGTCTAAAACACAAAAGTGTTTGTAGCAAATCTATTCTGATTTTAAAATGTTTTAATTTTATTCTGATTTTTATACCAACATTTAATTTAAACTTGTTTTTGTGTTTTGTTTAAATTCTGATTTTTGTGTTTTGTTTAAATTCTGATTTTTGTGTTTTGTTTAAATTCTGATTTTTGTGTTTTATTTGTTTTTCCAACTTTAATTGCAACTGTGTTTTTGTGTTTTTATTATGTTTTTATGTTTTGTTTGAACTTGATGTTTTGTATTTTTGTTTTAAAACATTAATTAATGTTTTAATCTTTTAAAATCAAAAATACATTATTTCAAAATTAATTTAATTTCCGTTTCATGGTCAAAAAATGAATAATAAATATTAAAGCATCACAAATCTGTTGTTAAAAATATTTTTTTCTTGTAATGCGATGCTAATTCAATTTTTTAAAATTATATCTCATATTTCTTTGTTTTTATTAAAAATAAAAAATTATAATTTTATTAAAATTTTAATATAAATATTAAAAATTAAATTTTTAAAAATAATTTTCTTTATTTTTCTTTATTTTACATTAATTCTATTTCCATGTTTAATGACGTAAGTTAATAAACTTTAACTACTCTTTGCTTATTATAGTATTTCATATTTTTATTTCTGCTTTTGTTTTTTTAAACATTTACTTTTTCTCTTATAGGTTGTGTGTTTTGTATTTTGGTTTATTCATGTTTTGTTCACATACCGTTTCCTGTTTTATTTGATATTCTGAAAACAAGTTTGGGTTTCTTTGATAAAGTTTATTTTAGTTTTTTTATTCTGTTTTTGTGTTTTATATTTTGTTTTCTTTAAATGTTTAAATTAAATTCTGGTTTTCTTTGTTTCATATTGTTTTATTTAAATTCTGATCATTTGAATTCTGATTTTGTGTTTTTGTTAAAGTTTAGGTTGTGTTTTATTTTAATTCTGGTTTTTTTTGTATTTTGCTGAACAAGTTTTAATTTTTTGTATTTTCTTTTTTGTATTTTACTTGTTATTTAAATAAACTTTATTATTTTAACTTTATTCAGCATTAACTTTTTTCCTAATTGCCTGCTTACAAACAGGAGATTTAAAAATTCCACGCAACCAAATAAATAAATATTTTTTATTATTAATAATAATATTCTTTAATGAACACATATTTATGTATTTGCCTTAAAAGTATTTATATTTCCTTTAATTTAAAAAATTTTTTATTTAGTTTTTGTGTTGCCATGTGAGCGAATTCGACTTAAATTGAATTTTTTTCATTATTTTTTATTTTTTAAGAACACGTAATTTTTAAAAAAAGTTCCTTTTTATACATATTTTAATCGTTGTTTATTATTATTTAGGATTTTTCTTTAAAAAAGTTTTTTTTTTAATTTTTTCTAAAAAAAATTTTTTTTTGATTAAAAAAAAAATTTTTTTTTGATTTTCAATTAAAAAATTATTTTTGCAAAAAATTTTTAATAAAATTAAATTTATTATTTTTTATCCAATTTATTAATTTCTTCTACTTAAATTCATTTTTACTCATTTTCGCTAATTAATTTTAATTTTAATTTTAATTAAAAAATAGTTTTTTTTAGTTATTATAATATTAAAAAAATTTTGATTTGCCCAAAAATTATTAAAATAAAAAATATTAGAGATGTCACATTTCCCATTAATGGCAGCAAGATTGCCTCCAACACAACCTCAACAACAACAACAATTTACTATACCAACAACAACAGTCCATTGTAATCTGTCCTCATTACGACCGCCTGTTCAGGTATGATCAAGTTTATTTTGTGTTTTGTTTGTGTTTTGTTTAAGTTCTAATTTTATGTTTTATTTAAATTCTGGGTTTGTTTTATTTTAGTTCTGGTTTTGTTTGTTCGAATTTTTTGTGTTTTATTTAAATTGTGTTTTAGTGTTTCATTTAATTCTGTTCTTGTGTTTTATTGTTTTGTTTAAATTCTGATTTTGTTTTTATTGAATGCTGGTTTTGTTTTATTTTAGTTCTGACTTTGTGTTTTATTTAAATTATGACTTATGTTTTATTTTCTGGTTTTGTTTGTTCGATTTTTTTTGTGTTTTATTTAAATTCTGGTTTTATATTTTAATGTTTTATTCGAATTCTGGTTTTGGTGTTTATTTAACCTTGGTTTTGTGTTTTATTGTCTAGTTCAAATTCTGATTTTGTGTTTATTCGAATTCTGGTTTTGTTTTATTCTAGTTCTGATTTTGTGTTTTATTTAAATTCTGATTTTTGTTTATGTTTTTATTGTTTATTATTTTTGTATATTTGTTTTTATTTAATTTGTTTTGTGTTTGTTTCAAAAATACAGATACTATTTATATAATTTAAGATGAACAACTTCAACAATATTAACAACAGCAACAATGTTTCTAATAATAATAACAACATTCCTTCTTCAACATCAACATCAGTATTCAATCCAAACTTTTCAACCTTTTTAAATAATTCAACAAATAAATTTGTTTCCCCCAATTATTCTTCTTTTCATGAACGTCCTACTGCTCAACTTCGACGGGCTTCGTCTGCTTCAGCTTGTAAATTTGCTGTTGATCGATTAAATAATTGTAATAATGTTGGCAATAGACCAGCAAGTTTACAACATCATGAATTACTTTTTTATGAAAAACCCCAAATTTCTTCTCAACAACAATTTAGTGAAAGGAGAGCATCAATTACACAACAACAGCAACAACCTCTTTTACCTCCTTTACGTAAATTTGAAAATTTGGAATTTAAATCAATGGAAGAAAAAGAAGAGGAAGAAGAAAGGCGTAGAAGAAGTTATAGTAATAGTGGAATTTTAACAAAAACAGAAATGGTTATAGATGCTGACAAAAAACTTGAAATTTTACAAAATCAAAGAATTGCGTTGAAACAATTACAAAGTCAACAACAGCAAGGAGAAGGGGTGTTACAGGCAAGTTATTTTGTTTTACCTTAAAACTTGAAACTTTTCCGGAAAGAATATAACTCAGAATATAACTAAAAAATTAAATCAGAATTTGTAATTTAAGTAAATCAGAATTTGTAATTTAAGTAAATCAGAATTTGTAATTTTAAATAAATCAGAATTTGTAATTTAAGTAAATCAGAATTTGTAATTTAAGTAAATCAGAATTTGTAATTTTAAGTAAATCAGAATTTGTAATTTTAAATAAATCAGAATTTGTAATTTTAAGTAAATCAGAATTTGTAATTTTAAGTAAATCAGAATTTGTAATTTTAAGCAAATCAGAATTTGTAATTTTATGTAAATCAGAATTTGTAATTTTAAGTAAATCAGAATTTGTAATTTTAAGTAAATCAGAATTTGTAATTTTAAGTAAATCAGAATTTGTAATTTTATGTAAATCAGAATTTGTAATTTTATGTAAATCAGAATTTGTAATTTTAAGCAAATCAGAATTTGTAATTAAAGTAAATCAGAATTTGTAATTTTATGTAAATCAGAATTTGTAATTTTAAGTAAATCATAATTTGTAATTTTAAGTAAATCAGAATTTGTAATTTTAAGTAAATCAGAATTTGTAATTTTAAGTAAATCAGAATTTGTAATTTTAAGTAAATCAGAATTTGTAATTCTGACTGTTTACAAGTCTATTAACACTCAAACCGCCCCCTTAATATCTGTGTTGAACCCTTCCTCCTTTTTTCTTAACATTCTTCACAAATAAATACATAAATATTTTTATTTTTAATCCTTTGCGGATATACTGTTCATTACACATAGTTATCGTTAAAAAAATTTTTTCTGGCTTAACATTTTAACTTTTTCACTCTCTATCGCGCTAGATATACTACTAAAGGATTATAAATAATACGTAAAAAATGTAGAAAGTACTTTATGCCTTTTTTAAATATTTTATAGTAGAAATGAAGGTCGATTCGCCCCTTAAAAATATTTTCGTTTAAGATCTCTGATTTTTATTCCAAATAAATTTTTAAAATATTTAAGCATAATTCTATGGATCAATTACACAACTCTTCTCCTTTATCTCTACGCCGTAATAGCACAAGCTTAATTAATCACAAAACTGTTGTAATTAATGGTAGCAATGAATGTCATTTTTCCAATGCTATTTCTTCGCCGCCCTCGTTGAATACTAAAGGTATTTAATCTTGAAATCAGAATTTGTAAAAATATTACAATTCAGAATAAATAACTAAAAAAATTAATTTTATAAATTTATCAGAATTTGTAAAATGTAATTTTACATTTAGCAGAAAATTACAATTTTAGATCAGAATTTTACAGATCAGAACTTTCAGAATTTCTTTGTTAAGAATTTACAAATCAGAATTTTTATTTTTTTAAATTAGAATTTATAAATATTAAATAAATACAATTTTACAAACCAGAATTACAATTTACAAATAAGATTTTCAGAATTTCTAAATCAGAATTTATTAAAATTAAACTAATACAATTTTACAAATCAGAATTTCAATTTTTCAGAATTTGTAATTTTTAAAATACATTTATTATTTTTACAGCAGAAATTCTACCACCTACAATAACTAACTATAACAACACAAATAATAACAACAACCTAGTTTCACCAGTTTCTTCATCTTCAGCCATTTCCTTAGCAGTTTCAGCACTTTTTGGTTCTACTAGTACACAAGACAATTCAACTTGTTTTAATTTAAATTCTGAACGTAATAATTTATCTTCAAATGACTCCAATGTTACTCTCTGGCAATTTTTGTTGGAATTATTAACTGCCAACGAGCATCCTCATTTGATACAATGGACTAATAATGAAGGGGAATTTAAGGTAAAATTCGAAATTTAATCAGAATTTTACAAATCAGAATAATTTTCAGAATTTTATAAATCAGAATTTGTAAAAATTACAAATCAGAATATTTCAGATCAGAATTTCTATTTTCAGAATTTTATAAATCAGAACAAATCAGAATTTTTAGTTAAATTAATTTCTTCTTTTATTTAAGCTTCACGACGCCGAAGCAGTTGCTCGTTTATGGGGAATTCGTAAAAGTAAACCAAACATGAATTATGACAAATTAAGTCGAGCACTCCGTTACTATTATGACAAAAATATAATTAAAAAAGTTATTGGACAAAAATTTGTTTATCGTTTTGTTATGGAAAATAATGGAGGTGGAGGAGGAGGGAAAATGTTAGAAAGTGGGGAATCTCGTCCAAATTCAGAATTATTAATGAATGCAAAACAACAGCAACAATTACAATTATTAGTTAATAATAATAAAAAAGAAGCAACAAATAATACAACGGCTATGGATAGATTATCGGCTTTTGAATGTAAAAAAGGAATTATTTTTAATAAATTAAGAAAAAATGTTTTTACAGGCTCAACAACACTTGCCCCTACACCAATGCAACATCAAAGGAATGCTTCTGGTAATAGACATAATAACAGTATATTAACTCCTTCTCCATCGGACAGGTAATTTGTTATTCAGATTTTTAATTACAATTGTAATTTTATAAAAATCAGAATTAATTAAAAAATCAGAATTTTACATTCAATTTTATAAAATCAGAATTTGTAAAAAATCAGAATTTTAATCACAATTGCAATTTTATAAAATCAGAATTTGTAAAAAATCAGAATTTTAATTACAATTGTAATTTTATAAAAATCAGAATTTGTAAAAAATCAGAATTTTAATCACAATTGCAATTTTATAAAATCAGAATTTGTAAAAAATCAGAATTTTAATCACAATTGCAATTTTATAAAATCAGAATTAATTAAAAAATCAGAATTTTACATTCAATTTTATAAAATCAGAATTTGTAAAAAATTAAAATTTTAATTACAATTGTAATTTTATAAAAATCAGAATTAATTATAAGGTCAGAATTTTAATTACAATTGTAATTTTATAAAAATCAGAATTAATTTAAAAAATCAGAATTTTACATTTAATTATATAAAATCAGAATTTGTAAAAAATCAGAATTTTAATTACAATTGTAATTTTATAAAAATCAGAATTAATTTAAAAAATCAGAATTTTACATTTAATTATATAAAATCAGAATTTGAAAAAATCAGAATTTTAATTACAATTGTAATTTTATAAAATCAGAATTTGTAAAATTAAAACCAGAATATATTACTCAGAATATATTGCTTTTTATAGTTATAGCCCTTCTGGTAGTGTTGAAAGTAGTAGCGGTGTTAGTAGTGGAAGTTGCCTTAGTTCTTTTAACGGAACAGGGATTTGTCAAATAAAAATGGAGCCTTCATCTTCTTGTTTTCAACAACAACAATATGTTTCAGCTCCAATGTTACCTTCAAATTCTGAAAAATTAATTGTTAATGGAAGTAGTAAAGGAACACGTAAACGTAGAAGTCCTTCAGATAAACACCAGAATAATTTGCCAGTAAAGCAACATTCTCCACCTAATGGAAGACATGTATCATGGATAAATTCGGGAACAGCATTTTCAGCTTCTGTTGATGTTGCTAATAATAATGGTGATTTTTTGATTTTTTTAAAATCAGAATTTTTATTACAATGTATATATTAAAAACTAGAATTTTTTCTAAATTCTGATTAAAATCAGACATAAAAATCAGAACTTTCAGAATTTTATAGATCAGAATTTATAATTCTGATTTTTTAAATCAGAACTTTACAGATCACAATTTTTGTAAATTCTGATTTTTTTAAATCAGAATTTTTCAGATCAGAATTTATAAAATTCTGATTATTAAAAATCAGAATTTTTTAAAATTAATTTTATATTAGACTCTTATTCATCAATGGCCTCCATCGACCAGCGTCGAAATAGCAGCCAGGATGACCAACATCAAGGTTCTGCACCCAAAATAGGTTGCACATCAAATACAGGTACTTCACACTATTCTGAAATATTTTTAAAAAATTAATTTTTGCAGGTCCCTCTCTTTGCCGTCGTGCTCGTCCACACCCTCTTGACCTAACTTGTGTAAATAATGCAACAGACACAAATTCATGTAGCAATAGTACATCAACAACTACAGGAGGTGGAGGAGGGACTTCTTCAACTACATCTACTAATCATTTAATTTCTGGCAACAATATTCCTCAAAATTCTTCTTCACTTTTAAATAATTTAAATAATCAAATGGTAGCATCTTCCCCTCTACTTTTTGCTCTACAACAACAACAACAAAATAATCCTCAAAATAGTCCTTTACTTTCTGCAGCAATTTCAGCGTTAAGTAATTATACTGGAGGAGCATCTCCTTTAGCAGGGACGGGATTGGCTTCACCTTTCACTCAAGCTGCGGCAGCGTTTCAATTAGCAACAAATTTTGTAGCTAGTTTGAGTCCTAATGGTAAGGATTTTAAAATAATAAATCAGAAATCAGAAAAAATGGGAAATCAGAAAAAATAAAAAAAATCAGAAATCAGAAAAAATCAGAAATCAGAAAAAAATCAGAAATCAGAAAAAATCAGAAATCAGAAAAAATCAGAAATCAGAAAAAATCAGAAATCAGAAAAAAATCAGAAATCAGAAAAAAAATCAGAAATCAGAAAAAAATCAGAAATCAGAAAAAATCAGAAAAAAATCAGAACTCAGAAAGAAATCAGAAACTTAAATTTTTTTAGTTTCAACAACAACTAGCAACAATTCAAATAATAACAATAGAAGCATAAATAATTCCATTAATTCAACACTAACTCCATCAACAACAACAACAATAATAACATCTACAAATATCCCAGTTTCAACAACATCAACAACTACACCACTTTTTAATTTCCCTAATAATACTCAACAACAAAATAATGATGAAATATTCAATAGATCAAAGAATTTGGCTTTTAATAATGCTTCTATTACAAATGCTGTTACTACTTCGCAACAAACAACTCAGTATAATAATAATACAAGTTTCTATAGTCAATTACACAGTGCTTTAACTACGCCTTTAGGAAATCAGGTACTAATATTTTTCCGGAATTTACAAATTCTGAAAATACAAACTTGAAACCTTTTCCGGAATTTACAAATTCTGAAAATACAAACTTGAAACCTTTTCCGGAATTTACAAATTCTGAAAATACAAACTTGAAACCTTTTCCGGAATTTACAAATTCTGAAAATACAAACTTGAAACCTTTTCCGGAATTTACAAATCATAATCAGAAATTGTAAAATAAATAAAAAAAATATTACAATTCTGATAGTATTTTCTCTCTTTTTATTCCTCACAATTCTGACAGTTTTACAATCCATATAATTTAATAATTTAAAGGTTCGAACACCACAGCAAAACTTTTCCAATTCTGCTGTGATTTCTGCAATGATCAACCATCTTACAAACGGTCCAAATACTCCTTTTGCACAACAACAACATCTTCAACAACAACAGCAATCACTATTTCAATTTCCTCCATCTTCAAATATGGCTATAGCTCATACATTGGCTATTTTATCTTCACCTGGTAATTCCTAGTTTTTAATAGAAAATTTATTTAAAAATACGGGGCCGAGAAAACTTATCTTATACTGAGGTATCTTAAACTGGAGGTGACTTATAATGGTCGTATCTTAGATAGGAGGTATCTTATAATGGGCGTCTCTTATATAGGGGGTATCTTAGGAGCTTTATTATAATGAGGACTGTATTTTAATCATTTTTCTCTTTTACAGGACTTCCACTAAATGGGCAATCACCATTTCCATTTGTCAATCAGATGGCAGCACTCCAAACACCAAAATTTTCAACAGCCAGCTTACTCCCAGGCAGTGCTGCTGCTTTAACTGCTGCGTTATCTGCTGCTCAACGTTCTCCAGATTCATTAAAGACTCCAATGGGTACAATTTAAAAAAATTATTTTTTTTTAATTTTAAATTTATTAATAAAGGTGGATTTAGTTTTGAGTTTGGACAAGCATTAGCTGCTGCACAAATAGCTGCTGCTACAAATAAAAAGTTTGAATTGTAAAAAATATTTTTTCCCGAAAAAAGATTTTTCTTTAAGATGACAACAACAAAGATTCAATGTCTTCTTTTTCGTCTCCTAAAATTCTATAGTATATAAACAACAACAACAAACACTTGTGTGTTTTTCTTTTAACTAAAAACACAAACACAACACACAAACATTGTTTTGATACAAACAAACAAACATCAGAAAAACAAGAGAAAAACAAATAAACTTGTGTGTTTTTCTTTTAAACAAAAACACAACACACATTGTTTTAATGCGGGTGTTTATACAAGCAAACAAAAGACTTTTATTCTGTTGTTTTTGAGACTATATTATTTGACACCTACATATAAAATACATTTAAAAATTTATTTTTTTTTTGCATTTAAAAAAATTATTTTTTTTTCATTTTAAATTTATTGACAAAGCCCAAAAAATTTTATTTATATATCCTCTCTTAATTTATTTTTTAAAAAATCTTTTTTCTCTCTGTTAGAGTATTTATATATTCATTCACTTTTGTATTTTTTCTTATTTGTTCTGAATTTTACAAATAAAATCAGAATTTTCATTTTAAAACTTTTTCAGAATTATTAAATAAAAATAAAACTTAGAATTATTGAATAAATTGATTAAAAAGCTTGAAAAGAATTTTTATTAGAATAATCGGGATTTTTACAAGTTTGTAATCTTGGAAAATTAAATATTGTAATCTTGTAGCAAATGTCGAAACGTTAACGATAATTTAGTTGAAAAAAAAATAAAAATGAATATTATAGAGTAAAGCAGCTGGGCTGTAGCTATTTCTCTCCTTTAGTAGACCGGACTGCTGTGTTAGCCATTACACCACGCCGCCTACTGCACATCCTTAGGAATTAAATGTCTATATGCTTTACAATAGTCGACCCTCCCCTCTCTTAGGGAAGTTGTACATTATAACGATGTCTTAATTAGGTAGGTGTCTCTTAAATAGAGGGTATCACTTAGGCAGCTTCCCCATCCAGTAGTCAATAGTCAAACAATTCTTAATTGGGGTTAGTATCTAATATTGAAGGTACATATCTAAAAATGAGTTTAAGGTATAAAATCTGCTGGAGAGGTACCTCCAGAGCTCTTCTAGAAGATTTCTCAACAATAAATATTTTATTAAAAAAATTCATTACAAAGCATTACAAACATTACAAAGCTACATGTTAGTACGCAATAGCACGCTTTTTATATTTTTTACATTTCTATCGCCCACCACACTCATCTCTTCCCCCACGAGGTCGTCGTCCCCAAGATTACTTTTTGCTTTATTTGTAATGTTTTTTGTTGTATTTAGTTCTTTGAGTCCTTTCTTTTAAAGAAAAAGTCGTGGAAAAATTTTCTTCTGCCAGCCGTTTTTTATTTTTATTTTTGAATTTTTGCCTAAAAGGCACATATCTTTGTTAAGTTTTTGGGAGTCTAGAGGCAGACCGAGACGAGTCTCTAGTTCAGTCTTCCTCTACATTTTTCAACCAACAAAAATTAGATGTGGGTCAGAATTATGATTTTCGCCTCCAATTTCAGGCACTTCCAATCAGAAATGGACTGGGTTGAGAATAAAAAGTCGGGCGGGTTTCGGATCGGGTGGAAAGAAAAGACAAGGTTTCGGGTAACCCGATCCTTCCCTGCTTCCAATCGTCTCCTGTCGATAATAGAGAACAATTAAAAAAAATAATATTTAATTTTCTGACAATTTTAGCTTGTTTTAGAGCTTTGTAGGGTTTCTATCAATAATCTCCTGCATATCTACAAAGTTTAATTTTTAACTTTAAAAAAAGTTTCTTTTTAATAAATATTTTATTTAAACTGCAGCTGCAAATTAAAAAAGGATTGTTCCTTCTTCTGCTTCCACACCTCCCCCCTCCCCCTTTTTTTGCTTAAGCATAATTTCTGAGCCTTTTCTGATCCCTTGTTGCTGTAAATTATTTATAAATTTATTCTCTCCTATTTTCTAATATAAGAAAATTATAAAAAAAATTTAAAAAATAATTTTTTTAAGAGTCCAAAAGTTTAAAATACATTTATTTAATACCAAAAATAGTGTGTTTAATCCCTAAGCTTAATTTAGTAGTAATCCCTTAATTTGAAATTAAAAAAAAAGTGGGAGTTTATTAATTCGGTGACGCGCCCTCCTAAAAATTTCCCTCAGAACTCTCCCTTTCCTTCATATGCCAAATTAATTGAGGGTGATATATGGTAGAGAGAAGGGATGTTCGGGTATCCCATCCCGAGGCTGTTTCCCGACCCGACTCCCGAGTTTTTTCTTTTTCCGAACATCTCTAGTAGAGTGAAGGAATAGGCCTTCCAGCGTTTTAAAAAGCGAAGACGGAAACCAGAAGACGGAAGGGCCAAAAAAGTAAGCGCAAGACTAAAGGCACCAGCCGATCCCTAGTATAGAACTTCCTATTGAACAAAATTTCAGTAATTAAAAATCAGACTCAAATGGAAAGAAGTGTTAAAAAGGAAATTATCTCTCTTCTCATTATCTTTTGCCTGTTCGCAAAAACCACGAGATTAGAAAAATAAACAAAACATCACTTTTCTCTCTCTCTCTCTATTTGATTTTATTTCTGTTAACCATACTTTAGGTATTTTATTTCAACCTTTTTTTGATCATTTATTAAATACTAATCTAAATTGTACACTCTTGAGTATGAAAAAAGCATGTAAAACTGAGGTGTACGTAAATTGGAGGTATCATTTTGAAGAGAACCCTTTTTTAGTGACTGGGTGACCAATTTCAATTTAATTCTTATTTGTCTTTTTTGCCTCAGACTCTAATGGAATATTTTTGATTTTTCTTGTTAAGACTCAAAAATCGAATAATTTTTTGGTAAAACCCGAAACTTTTTCGGGTTTTTGGGTAAAACCCGAAACTTTTTCGGGTTTTTGGGTAAAACCCGAAAAAACTTGTCAATTTTGGTACCAATCTCTTTAGCTCGATGAGAAGAATAGTTTAATACTAAATTTGGAAAGATTCGGGCATCTTGAAGCAAGTTATGGCCTCGCGCCGTTATGTCGCGCGCCGTTTTAGTCGTGTCCCATTTTTGATTTTTTTTTTGGCTAGGACTCAAAAGAACGAATAATTTTTTGAACGGAAAGGATTTTTGAGTCTTATCAAGAAATTTCAAAAAGTCCATTAGAGTCTGAACTGGTCAAAAAATAAGAATAGGACTCTATTGGTCTGTTTAATCGATTTTCTATTTTTTTAACTCAAAAATACCCTTCTCTCTTTTTATTTTTACGTATTTATTAAATTGTTTCTTTTCTTCTAATTTATTTTCTTTTATTTTATTTTTTCTCTTTAAATAATTTTTATTTTTCTCGTCCCCATTTTATTAATTTTTATTGGGCACAGCATTCGCTTTTTTACCCAGTAATCTTTTGCCTCTCTTCTTATTCTTTCCAATCTTATCAATATTTTAATAATTTTATTTAATTTTTGTGTTAATTTTGGTTAAGAGAGCCCATTTTTCTTTTTTTTTTATTTTTTATAAGACCATGGGGGGTAAACAACACTAGGGGTTTTTTTTACATTTTCTTGTGGTCGTTTTAGGTACTTCTACTAGCTAGCTGTTTTATTTAGAACCTTAAAAAGAATCTTACTAGTCTCCCTAACCTTTTGTTTTGTTAATCTACTGTTAATCAATAGAAAATTAAATTTCCTTTCCTCTTTCTTTTTTAATACTTTAACCTTTTTTTGATATTCACCTTAGGACTTGTATAGGTAGGTAAAAGGGGTGTTTGTAGTGGAAGGAGGATAATAAAAAGGAATAAAGTGCCCCGAACGTTGACAGTATTGACTAATTAATTTTTTTTGTTAAAAGTCTTTGGAAGTGAACCATGGGGGGTAAACTGCACTAGAATCCATTTTGCTTTCTTTTTTGTCCTTTCCTCGGAAAATTTTCAAGCATGTAGAATAAAAAGCGAAGAATTTGCCCTGAACGTTGACTGTATTAGCTACTTAATTTTTTCTTCTTACAAGTCTTTGGAAGTTGACCATGGGGGGTAAACTACACTAGGCTCCTTTTCCCTTCTTTTTTGTCTTTTTCTCGAAAAATTTTCAAAAAATTTTTTGAAAGAAAAAAAACACTTGAGTGACGTTCAAACCACCTCTTTTTTTGCATAAGCAGCAATTTTAGCAATAAAAATATATTCTCTGAAAAAGCTAGTAGTAGGTATATTTATTTACACACCCAAACCATTCTTTTCTCTTTCTCTCTTCGTTTATCTATCAAAAAAAGTATTTTTTTAGTTTATTGACTAGTTTTGTTCAATAATTTATTTTTTAATTTTTATTTGGCTTTCCAAAAGATCGAAAACCTGAAATTAATTTTTTTAATTTTTAGGATAATTAATTAATTTTATTATCCTTATTTAATTAAATTCAATTTTATTTATTTCTTCGGAAATAGTATCTTATTTGACAACAAATTTAAAAAAGGTTTTTTGGAGGTTTCAGACTAGGGCAGGACGAGACCGTTAATTCGAGACTTATTTTCCCCTGTGGCGGACTTTTCCCTTCTCTCTTCTCTTTTTGACCCGCCACAGGGAAATAAACGAGGAATTAAACGGTCTCGTCCTACCCTATTTCAGACGTCGCGTTTTTTTTCTTTTAAAATTTCTTCCCTACTTCCTTCTTCTTGTTTACTTCCCCAAAATTTTTTTTGAAATTCCTCATAGGAAACGACCACCTTCTCTTTAAATTGTTGAGGGGTAAAGAAGTTGCGTCATTCACCTATTTTTTGTTAGTCTTTTATTGACCTTATTAAAACGTGTTAAACAAGGAAGGGACTATACTTGTTTACTTCCCACGTTTCAGTTAAAAAACTCCTCTTAGGAAACAAACACCTTCCCATGCTATTGTGGGAGGAGGGAGGGTGGGTTGCGTCATTAAGGGTCTATTTTTCCTCGTTGTTTGTTTTCTAGTTTTATTGTTGACCTTATTTTGAATAGGGGTAAACAAGAAAAGGGAAGAGAAGGAAGTGCGGGAAAACTTTGAAGAAAACACGCGACAATCTTCTTGAAGGTCAAAAATTTTATTTTTAGTTGACACAAAGACACAAACAAGGATGGACTATCCAACAGAACAACAACTTCCAGTTGAAGTTCGCGATATCGTCAAGAAATTTCGTGTTCCAGTTGACCGCTTGAAAGTAATTTCTGATGATATGGTTGCTGCAATGAAGAGAGGCTTGGAAAGTGGAAGTGGACGTCAGTCGTCGATTGGAATGCTTCCGTCTTTTGTGCCAGCTTTGCCTGATGGGACTGGTATTTTTTGTTAATTTTTGGGGTTTGTAGGGACAGGGGTGCCTGGGGTTGTGAACTTTTTTTGGATTTTTTGTTTTGGGGTTGCCTTTTCCGTTCAATTACTTTTGGGGAACAAACGGAATCCTTCAGTCTTTTCTGGCCTAAGTTACGAATGTTTGGCTGAGGGCACTTCAACAGGAAACTGGGAAAGATAGGAGGAAAAGTAATAAGCAGGTTCACAAAAAAGTCCCCCTCTATGTTTTCTGGAATACTTAATTACATGGGTTTCCCACAAATGTGAATTTTATTTCTTCCACTTGTAGGAAAAGGTTTACGTTTTTGAGGACTTTCCTTATGGGCCTTTCCTTACAGATCCTTTGTGGATTTTATTTAAATAAATAATTTTTTTTTACTTTAAAGAGATTGGCAATTATTGTGCTATTGACTTAAGCGGCAAAAACTGTCGCATTCTTTTGGTTGTTTTTGAAGGTCCAGGACATGAGCCTGTTAAGGACATTCAGAATTTTGTTGTGCCTAAACAGGTTATGACTGGAACTGGGGAGCAGCTTTTTAATTTTATTATCAATTCGCTCAAAAAGGTTTTTTATTTTTTAATTTTTGGTAGAGGGCCAATACTTGATTAAGTCCTGATAGGTAAGCTAATTTACCCGAAGGAAACAAAAAGTGACTGCAAATTAGGCGAAGTCGTCATCGCCTGAGTGTGGTGGGAGGGGGGAGCTAGCAATACCGATGGCAATGTCAGGAAAAAATTAGGCCTATGGTCCTTGCCTTGACTCCCTCTTTTTCCTTCAAAGAAACAAAGGAGGAATCACCGTTTTATCTCCTTCAAATAGGTAAGGAATTGGTTAGTCGTTTAATTATCTTTTGCAGCTTAATGTTGTTTACCCCCCATAGATGTATTAAAATCATTTAAAACTTCTTGGTTTTTAAAGGTTTTGCGCGATGCCAAAGTTGAAGATCAAACATTTCACATTGGCTTTGTTTTCTCATTTCCTTGCGAATTAACCTCTATTCGTGAAGCTCGTCTTCTTTGGTGGACAAAAGGGTTTAATATCCCAGACTGTTTGCAAAAGGATATGGTTACTCTTTTGGATGATGCTTTGGAGTTGAGTATGACTGTTAAGGTTTGGAAAATTTTTTTTGAGTTTTTTGTGTCTGTTAGAGAGGTTTGGATATTTGCTCCGTAAATGGGTAGATTATTGCCTTTTTTCTGCTTCAATGTCCTCTATTCTTTTTTTTTTGAGACAGTAGAGGGAAAGGTAACACATTAGGGCATTTTTGATACCTTTGTCTTAAAGACAGACTTGGTAAATGTATTACAACCTAAAAGATTTTTGACCACTCCTAGTCTCCCCTTGACCACATCTAGTCTCCAAACCTTCCCCAAATCTTCCACAAAAATTCCAGAAGTCAATTTTTTGTCGGGTCACTTGCTATTGTTTTGTAAATTCTAATGAAATAATTTCTTTTTATAGGGCAGAGTCAAAGCCATTATGAATGACACTGTTGGACAGCTTGCAGCATCACATGCAAAATATGGAGATGAATGTATCGCTGCTTGTGTTATTGGATATGGGTATTTTTTTGAAATAAATTTTGAAAATTTTTTTGATTTTAAGTTGCAATTCTGCATATTTGGAGGATGTTAAGAATATTAAAAAGTTTGATCCGGAAGAGTTCAACTACAGACATGAGAAAATGGTTGTAGTGACTGAATGGGAGGAATTTGGACGTCGAGTTGGTTTTTTTGAATTTATTTGTTAGGGAGGGGAAAGGCTGGGTGCTATTTGGGGGTTTTGCAAGGGTATTTAGAACATCTATAAGAGAACAGCTGTTCTTGTTAGTCGCTACTGATAGAGCCACGGGGCAGCGGAAGAAACGGTTGGTCTAGAAACTTTCGCAGCCTTGTAACTATTAATGGCTCCAAAGACGATTTTGTTGATTATCGATTTCTTCTAAAAATTTTTTGATGTTTATTTAAAGTTCCTAAGGCTGTGCAGTAGGTGGCGTGGTGTAACAACACATCAGTCCGGTCTACTGATTCGCTCCCAGCCGTGAATAACCTTTTGCACTAGCTGAAGGAGAGAAATAGTTATAGGCCTCCTTTACTTAATTAAAAGATACTTAAATTTTGAGAATTATTTTGTCTTTTAAACCCAAACTTCACACAAAATTTTTAAGTTTACTTTTAGATTATTTTTTTTAATTTTTTTTGATCAAGCATTATTTTTATAAATTTAGAAAGAAATGGACGACATTATGACTGAATTTGATCGGGAAGTTGACGCAGCTTCTGTCCATGTTGGCAAACAAATGTGTGTTTATTTTTTAATTTAATAGGGTTGGGGGCCCGGTCCGAAAGATTGAGTCGGGCCTCGAATTTTGGCCCGAAAAAGACTTGGTCGGGCCGGCCCGAAAAGAATGACTCGAACGTCGGCCTGACTCGAAAACCCCAACCCTATAATTTAATTCAAAAAATTTTTTCTTTTAAAGTATTGACAAATTGACTGGTGCTCTTTATTTGGGCGAATTAATTCGAAGGATTCTGCTTAAACTTACCAAAGACAAAATTCTTTTTTGTGGTGAAAAAGTTGAAGCATTGGAGAAAGTTGATGGATTTCCAGCTAAATATATTAGTGAAATATTTAGGTTTTTTTATGAAAAGTTGAAAAATTTTTTTAATTTTCTTCAAGTGAACCTGGAGAAATGCGTAAAAATTGTCGTAAAATTTGTGATGAAATGGAAGTTCAGAATCACGGTAGTATTGACTATTTTATTATGCAAGAAGTCTGTATTGCTGCTTCTGAACGTTCTGCTGGCGTTGTTGCTGCAGGTTTTTTTTCTTTTTTTTGATTGAAAAACTTTATGGGAAATTAATTGTAAGTTTGGTGACTTTTTATTGCCCCTTGTATTTTTTTTTCTTTAGAAAGAGGAAAGTTTTGTATTTGTTTTCTCTTTCAGATTATGAGGAGGGGGGTAGGGATATCCAAAAATATTTTGAATTTATTAAAATGAGTTTTGTCTTTTACTAATTATTAAATTAAAGCTCGAAAACCCTCTAAATAAACAAAAATGGGACAACTTTTCTTTTTTTTCCACACTAATTCTTCTGTGCCAAAAATAGTGGAAATGGGGAGGGGGAATAAAATTCAAAATTGCCTTTTAAAAAGAGTTTTTTTTTAATTTTTTTAAAGCCATTTCTGCATTACTTCGACATATTGGACGCAGGAAGATTAAAATTGGTCTTGGTGGTGCAATTATTCAATTCCACCCGCAATATCAAGAGATGTTGGAAAATTATTTGCGGTCTATGGCACCGATTAATATTGACGTTTGTTTTTTTTTTGAAAATTTTGGACTACGGGTATCTTGACATGCATATAAGGGATGTGTGTGTTCTGGTTTTTTGCGTCCGTATTTTTTTTAAATTATGGCATGGCTCGTCCCTAATATGCACGACTCGTCCTAATACACAACTTGATTTTAAAAAATAATTATTAAAAAAATTTTTTTTCCAGTGGGAACTCTGTATTGTTGAAGAGGGCAGTGTTCTTGGTGCGGCCTTAGTTGCTGCAATTGCCGTCAATATGAATCTTAAATAATTTGTTGGTTTTGTTTTGTTGGTTGCATCTCTTATAAATAAAATGGTGCGATAAGAAAGAAAGTTGTTGACCTCTTTTTTTAATTTTTTTAATTTAAAATTTTTTGGCCATTAAGGCAAAACTTATTTAAAAATAAAAAACAAGCGCCTTTCATTTTAAGTAATTTATATAAAAATAAAATAAGCAGCTCCTGACCTGACCCATCCCCCACTTCTCTCTTTATTTTTTTAATTTTATGATTATTATTTTTTTTTGAAAATGCAACTGGAAAAAAATTTTTTTTTCTGATTTAAAAGAATATTTTTTGGAGGTTTTTTAATAAAATGATTGAAAATTTTAGGAGAAAAAATTCTTTTTTTTTCCAGTTGCATTTATGCACTCGTATATATATTTGTATTGTTTTTTCTAAAAAATATAACATTCGTGGACATAACTTGAAGTAGACCATGGGGGGTAAACAACACTAGGGTTACTTTTTACTTTGTCTTGGAAAATTTCAAAAAAAAAATTTTCCCTAAAAATTTCTTGAAAAAAATAAAAGTCCACAAATGTTATATTCTATTTTTTAATTATGTATTTGGACATTCTCAATTTTTTCAAAATAAACTGAAAGAAAATTTTTTTTCAAATGAGTTTAATTATAGGAATCTTCAAGACATGAATTAAAAAAAAATACCACAATTAAATTCTATAAGCAAAAAATTTATAAAAAATTTTTTCATAACAAAGAATCGGTCCCTCGTATTTTAAATAAAATTAGAAAAAAAAATATAGCGTATATTCTAGTCGATTTTTATTTATTTTTTGCTTAACATTTGGTTAATGTTTGACAAGTGAGAGAAAAGAATGAAGGAAGGAATGAATGCTTCTTTTATTTTGAGTTAATCCACGGATCGATGCCATGGATATTTTTTGAAGATAAAAGTAAAAAGTGAAAAGAAAAAATAAAGAAAAATATGAAAAAGATATGCTGGCCATCACAAGTTTATTTATTTTTTTTTATTTTTTAAGAATTTAAAAATGCGCAAAAAATAATTTCTAAAAAGAGAAATTAAAATAAAGCAGCCAAAACTCTCCCCAGAAATTAATAAGAGATTAGATGGGGCTTGATCCTGAGAGTTTTCCAAAGCAAAATTGTTAAGCGCTTGATTTCCGATTTCCGACAGTTCCGATTTCCTGTACCATCGTCATTCTGGAAGAAAACTTTCCCCAGACTTATGTCCATTAACCACCACCAATAAATGTCCCAAATTGAGAGATGCCCTGTAAATAGTTGTTGGTGGAATGTCCATTTAGTTAGAGTGACTACAACCTTCTCGGCACTCAACTGGAAGCATTCAAAAGACCCATTTATAATTAAAGAAAGGATCAAGTCGAACTTTTGTTTTATTTTTCCCTCTAAAAAATTTTTTTTCTCTTTTAACAAAACGCCTCCGATTGACTAAAAATAATAGGTTGGTGAATGAGTAAATGAGAACATGCAAACGTGTGGTAGATAACATTTGTTTAAGCTTAAAATATAATTTTTTTTCAAGCCAGCCGTTGAAAACATTAAAAACAATATAAATCATTTGATTGAATTTTTAGTGTTAAGAAACCCAAAAATAAGACGGAAATAAATATATTTAGTGTTGGGTTTTCTGGAATTTTTGAGTTTTTTGGGTTTTTTGGGGTTCTTTAGGCCTTCCCTATTTTTCATTTTTCAGTGTTTCTGATTTTTCCCAGACTAGGTAATGGACATGGATTTTGGTATCCGTATCCGGATAATTACGGCGGATACAGACGGATATCCGCAGGCATTTTGAACTTATTTGTATCCGTATCCATTACCAAGCCTGATTTTTCCTCTTCTGATTTTTTCCTTGGATTTTCTAATTTTCTGGATCTATAATTAATATAAATTTGGTCCAAACAAAAATTGTTTTTAAAAATATTTTTATATTTTAAAATAGGTTACCTAAATATTGTATTTTATTCTATTAATTAAATGTATACTGTTACAACAATATTTTATTAAAAACAACCAAACAAACAAAAATGCTTTCTCCTACAAAAAAGGAGAAGGAAAAAAATAAAAATCAGAAAAAGAAATCAAATCAGAATCAACAAGAATTAACAAATGGGCAACAAGTAGCACTAATACAGAACGGAAATAAACATAATGGAGATACAAAAAGGAATGGTAAGGGGAGATATAGGAAAAAGGCCTTCCGTGAGGAGGGAGTTGAGTAGGGAGTACTCCTCCATATAGAGCTCCCCCAAAAATGGCCTCCCCGCCACAAATAAGGCTGAACCCCATGTTTTGCTAATAGGGCAATGTTGGAAAAACGTGGGTTTTGGAAAAATGTGGGGGTGAGGGGCAAAACAAAGAATGCCAAAACTCGGAACATTCCGTGTTCTGGCAAGACCGTGTTTTGGTATGGGCTTTATTTTGGTCGTTCCTTGTTTTGTCCGACCGTGTTTTGTCCGACCGTGTTTTGTCCGTTCCGTGTTTTAGCCCAACACGAAATATGGAATTGGCAGAGTATGGGGGCACGAAAAAATACCTATAAAAAGTTAAAAAATTATTTTCTTAAAGGCATTTCCTCTCACCATCTCCTCCCTTCAGAAGAAGACAATTCAGAATCTACAAGTATTGTGGATGATAATTCTGCCTCATTAACTCTACAACAAACCCATTTAATTGAAAATGAAGGGCAAAGCGACGTTTTAAAAACAGAAGAACATTTTACTTCGGAAATCAAATCTTTTGTGGTTGTTAATCCTCCAAAATTTAAACAGGTAGAAAAACAAGGGAAATTTTTATATTAAAAAAATTTGCAAAAAATTTGGCATTCTGTTGTACTGCCGGACTTTTTTAAAATTAAAAATATTGGGTAATATTAAAGATAATTTAGAAGTGAATACAAGGAAATTCAAAATACGATATCTTTTTAAATACATATTTTTCTTGTGTCTAGGGCCCCAAATCCGGGGTTCTTGTGATCTCCGGATTATTCCATGAACGGATTAAATTACTAATAATTTAAAATATTTTTTAAGAGAATAAAAGCATATCGGTTAAAATCAATAGACAGGGTAACCTTGGTTGCAGAAGTACAAAGTTGGCCTGTTGCTGAATTTGAATGGTTTTAATTAATTAATTGAAAAATAATTTTGCTTATTTTAGGTTTTGCAACGATAAACCTGTCAACGAGATAAAGAATCAAGATACTATATTTACAGTAAAAACAAGTGGAAATGTTAGCATAATGAACATACAAAGTTGGGAAATTTTTAAGGAAAATTTTTATTTTTCCCTATTTAAGACCCTTTAGAAGGCATTTATGCCTGTGCAGCAAAAAATTCAGCAGGCATTTCAAAGTCTTATGGCTATATAAAAATAAATGGTTTTATAAAATTAAATTTTTTAAAATAAATTTTAACAAAAGATTCTCAAAAACAAACAGAAGAAACGAGCAATTTAATTATTGGAATACTCTCCCCACCCCCTACACCTGAACCGACTACAACACATTCAAAGAGTACAAAGAGGCCGCCTAGATTTTTGACTGATGTGCCTAATTTAGCTTTGATTAACTCAGAAATTGCTGTAGTTGATGTTGAAGTTAGACCTGTTGCTGATAGGTAGAAATTTTTAATTGGAATTCTGGAAAAATTACTGAGGACAATAGGAGGTCCGAACAGATCCTGAACTATGTCTATCAGGACAGTCCGAATAGTCGTGCGGCCATAAGGTCGCATAACTTGCGTTAAGATTTCCAAATCTTTCCAAATTTGTATTAAACGGATTCCTCTCATCGAGCTAAAGAGATTGGTACAAGATTGATAAGGGCCAAAAATTTTTTAGCAAGTTATGGCTTGGCGACCAATGGCCAGAAATCTGGCAACTATTCGGGCTGTACCCATGTCTATCCCCATGTCACTTCAACATGATTCAAAGCCATGTTGTCCTCAATCCAATAGTCTACTATTTAATTGTCTTACTGCCCTAATGTCTGTCTATTCAACTAGAGTTGTACCCCGACCCCGAACCCCGAACCCCGACCCCGTTCCCGAACGATTTTTTCACGATTCTCCCCGACCCGAACCCCGCCCCGAAACATTTCGAAAACCCCGTACCCCGACCATAAAAGTTTCGGGGTTATCGGGGTTTTATACACCCAAAAAATGCCATTTTTGTGAGAATTTTAAGAGAAAAATTTTAAAAATTTCCTCACAATTTACTTTGCCTTTATTATTTTTGAAAGAAAAATGAATGAAATATCAAAATTTTCTTTCATTCTTAATTAAGAGACTTGTGGTTGAGTGGCTTAGTTGTTGGTTTTAGCCTATATTTCCATTAATATAGGATTGGGTTCGGATCCATATAAGGAGAACTCTTTTGTTTTTATATTTCTTTACAAAAACAAATTATTAACGAGTTAAATTTTAATTTTAAAATATTAATTTTATTTTTAACTGATATCCCTTGAACGACCCTTAATCCTTCAAACCCCTTGTATCACCAGTAAGGGGTTCCCAACCATAACAGTTGGAAAACTATCGAGGTCCTGTTAACGGGAATCAGAGATATAAAGGAATTTGTAGTATATCGAAGAATTAAGGAGTTATAAAGGGATTTAAAGGGATATAAGGTTTAGATTAAAATGGATTTGAAAGAATTACGTGAATTTAACGGAATTAAAAAGGAATTCGTGGGAGATCTAAGGATTAATCCAAGATATCTCCTGATATCCGTCCAAATACCCTTATCCGCAATACTTCAATATTCTTATTAATCACTGATATCCCTTGAAACAACAAAAATCACTCCAGATCACCTTGCACCCCTAGATATACCATTTAATCCCTAAAAATCCCGCTTAATCCCTCCATATCCACTTATATCCTAAGTTATACACTTTAATCCCTTCAAATCCCCTCTAATTTCTCCAAATCCTACTTAATTTTTGAATAAATTAGCGAAAATATAACGAGATCTGATTATTTTTGAGCATTTTTTTCTCTAAAAATTTTTTCCCTAAAACCCCGTACCCCGACCCGAACCCCGGTCATATTTTGCTCCCCCGACCCGAACCCCGCCCCGAAACAATTGGAAAACCCCGTACCCCGACATACCCGCCCCCGAACGTTCGGGGTACAACCCTATATTCAACTAACCCTCCCTTCATTTTTAGTTTTACATGGTATCTGGACGGTCATCTTATTGCTGAAATTATCCCAGCAAACACATCAGAAGACGTATTTCCAATAGATTCTGCAAATGCAACATTCTTTCTACCAAAATCTGGGCAATGTGTTGCTCATTTCAAAGAGGCAAAGCCTGGACGGTATACTTGTGTTGCCAAAAACGAAGCAGGAATAGCCAAAAGTACAGGGTTTATTGAGAGAATATCAGGTAAAACGTAGAATATATTGATAAAAGCCTTATTCTATCCAGATTTAAATTCAATCTCCAACATTCATTCAAATCTTCTACGAGAAACAACACTTCCCCCTATAAGTAGTGAAGGCAGAGGAGGGTCAAGAGAAAGATTTTCTGGCTCACGCACAAAAACAACAATTCACACAACTACTGTAGTACATCGCTCCTCTAGTCTACCAAAAAGAAAAGCTTCTGGGGAGAGTTCTAGGGCGGATAGTGGTGAAATTTTGAGGAGTTCCTTTTAATCAGTCATTTTTCTCAGAATTCGACTCTTCTCTAATTGTCCGCCCAAAAATGGCAACTCCAGAAAAAGAAAGTGTTAATGCTGACAGAACCCCAATTATACCTAATTTTGTTGTTTTCCCGCCCCCAACAATCTGCCTTTCAAAACAAATGCAAAAAACACTTGAATTACACGTCGCTTGCCAAGCTTATCCACCAGCACAAATAACTTGGTTTATTAACGGAAAAGGATTGGCAGAGGAGTTGGAGAAAAATGAATATCGAGTACTTACTGAACATAATGAATCTAGATTGTTAGTAGAGAGTGGGGGAGAGGGTGGTTTACCTAAGGAAGGAATTTATGTAGCGGAGGCTTCAAATGCATATGGAACGGGAAGATGTGAAACGATGGTAGGGGTTGGAATTGATGTGTCTTTAATAAAATGGAGAAATTTTAAGGTTACCATCTCTGATGATTTGTCTACGATTGATGAAAACTCTCTAGATGATTCCGAAACAGTAACAAAAATAATTCAAAAAAGAGTAGAACGCCAAGAATTGTTTGAACAAGATTCTGACGAGGAGGATGAATTTTTAAACGAAAAGGAGGGGAACAGCGATGATAAATTTTTTGTGAGTACACAAACTATTGAAGAAGCACCAATGAGGGAAGTTGAACAGATTCACATTTTACAACAAAAGGTAGAGGAAAGGGTGATCTCCTTAAAATTTAGATTTTTAGAGACCCGAAATAGTTCTAGCTCCAGACAGTCGAATATTTGTTCCAGGTGGACTTCCTCTTGTTTTAGAGTTGAAAGCGGATTCGGAAAGTGATTGCACTATTCGTTGGTATTTAAAGAATTTTGAATTGCATCCAAATGGAAATACTGTGATCGTTGAGAATTTGGAAAGAAATCATGAGAAACTGTAAGTGTTAGATAACGGATAGAGAGATCCAGAACTATAAGCTCACTTATCGAGATCGAGATTTCTGGATATATCGATCTTGAACACTCCCAGTCCTTATCTCTAGTTGGCTAACACTGGCTACCAGTAATAAAAGCTAGTGTTGGCACTAGGGTTTGCGGTTCCTGGGGAATCTCTTGGTATTCAGACCCGGTAAACAAACAGAAAATTTCCGGAAATCCTGGGTTTTCTGTTCCGGATACTTTAGTACCAATCAATTATTACAAAAAAATTAAATTTTCAGCACAATTCTAAACCCAACAGAAGGAATTTACAAAGCGGTAATTCAAAATGATCATGGAATGGCTACCTACGAATGTCGAGTACTTGTAGAAGTTCCACCTCAAAGTGATCAAGATTTGCCAGAATTTATGCAACGTTCTCGTGCCTTACTTCTAAAATCGCCTACACCCCCTCCAATCTTTAAACCAGAAAAACAGCGTCCAACAAAAGAAGAAAGTGAAGCAGTTAAACGGATTGATATAGCTCCAAAAATTATTTCAGAATTTGAAGAGGTTTATAGAATAGGAGAGAATATGCCTTTTGAGTTAGATGTTAAAGCAGAGGCTAGACCTGAAGGTAAATACAAATAAGGTGTTGTCTATAATAAAGCCCCAAGAGGCTCTATTTCTTAACTATCCTCCAAGAGGACTATTGTTCCGCACTTGCAGAAAGAATGTAAATGAAAATAAATAACCCATTACCGGGTTGGATGAGGGTGCAGTCGGTTGTGCCTCGGTTTGGGCCCTTTCTATGATGGTTCTATTCCATCTTCCATCCAATGGATTTTTCCACATCATTAACATTATAGTCACTATTTAAGGGTGGCTCTAATATAGGCATTTTTTTCAAACAAATCTCATTTTTCTAGCTCAATTTCAATGGAAGCATAACAATTTTGAAATAAAATCGAATGATCAAGTACAAATTAAACATGCTGGTGAGAATAACGAAAAAATATCTTTTGCCAAAGCGGTTGATGGAATTGGTAAGGAAATGATTTGAAATTAAATATTTTAAATTTTAAAGTCGAAGTTCATGCTGTGAATAAATTAGGAAAGGATATTAAACGAACAAAAGTGATAGTCGATTATAATTTTGATCCTTCAAATGAAAATAATGTTAATAAAAAACTAACTGAAGAAATGGAAGAAAGGAAGGAAGGGAAGGATGAAGGGCCAAAAAAATTAGAAAAGCGGAAGAAAGATACTCAAGGAGTGAAGGAAAATGGAGATTTAGAAGGTGTTGAAACTAGTAAAAAGAAAGATAAGAAGATAGCTGATAAAGCAAAAGAAACTGAAGCAAAGGATAGTTTGGAGAACGATTTAATTAGTATTGAGAAACAGGAGGGTAAGTTCAAATTAGAGGCAGGACTGAGACTTGATCTTAAGCGAAAATCTTGGTTATCGGGATCGAGATTTTTCGAGATATCTATCTCGGGACACTCCCAAGTAGGCGCAAAGCCATAACTAGCTGGAAAATTCTGGCCATTATCAATTTTGGTACCAATCTCTTTAGCTCAACGAAAGGAATCGTTTAATACTAAAGTTGATAAGATTCGGAAATCTTGAAGCAAGTTATGGCTGTGAGCCTACTTGGCCGCGCGCCTACTTGGCCGTATCCCTCGATCTCGATTCTCATACGACCAGTCCGATCTTTAATTCAAATCTTTTAACTAAAAAATATTTCTTTCGGTTTAGAAACCTATTCCTTACTTATCAAAGTAGCTGAAAGTGTTGCGGATAACTTGGTTGCTAATATATTTGTTAATGCTCTCGAAGAGGCTACTCAAAAATTGGTTGATAGCGAAAAGGATAAAAAGAAGGTTGATAAAAAGAAAATTGCTTCAAAAGAGAAAGCTGAAACAAAAGAAGGAGAAGGGGATATTTTGATAGAAATTGATTTAATTAATAATAAAATGTCAGATAATTTAAATATACTGGCTAATATACAGGTGAATATTTGTAAAAAATCATTGATTTTTTCAATAATTTTTAGATGTTTGAGGTTGAAAGTGTGAACAAAAAAGTTTCGTCATTGCCTGCTTCAAAGATTAAAGAGAAGGAAAAAATTGCTTCTAAATTAGAAAAGGAAGTAGAAATAGGCAAGGAGAGCTCAGAGGCTAAGAGAATTGAAGAGCCTGTTGAGGAAATTATTCAAGAGAAAGTAGGAGCCGATAGGGAAGATATTTCTGAAGATGAACGTACCAAAAGTTTATCACAAAGAAGGCCCTCACAGCAACAATTGGATAACGTTAATTTACAGGATATGGAACTTTTAGAGCTTGTAAATCGTTTAAGGACTGTTGAAGGGTTTTTAACTGAACAACCTGTTGAAGTTGGGAATGAAGAGAAGAAAGAGGAGGAAGGAAGAATGGAACAACCCGTTGAAGAAAAAATAGTCCAAGAAGCTGTCCAATCGGAGAAAGAAGAGTTTTTAGTTAATGGAACGGGAACTATTAAGGACGTTCATGAAAATCAGAATATTACTGCTGATACAGCTGAACTTGAAGCAAAACGACAATTAGAAATTGCACAAAAAGTCCAGCAACATCGTGATGAACTTGCAGCAAAACAGCTGCAGCAACAACAAAGTAGCCGTTCCCCATCCCGTAGAAGGGCAGAAATCCAAATTGTGGTTGTCGAACAAGAAAGGACCCCCGACCGTAAACCAGAACAACACCCACCAGCACAGCCTATCCCCTATGGAGGAAAACCGAAAATAAACAAAATAACTTTGGGGGTATTTCTGAATCTTCCACCTCATGTAGTTGCTTTTAATGTGTATCTATTGGAAACTAATAGTTTGAATGTTGAAAAAAATATTAAAATGTGTAGTAAAGGAAAGTATAAAAACAAAGAAAAAGAAGAGACTAAGATGCTTCAAAAATCAGAAGAGAATAAATCGCTGCAGAATAAAAAGTTGCTTCAAAAATCAGAAAAACAACCAGAAACAGATAAGAATGAACAAAGTTTAATAGAAACGGAAGGCTATTTTACCTCTTCCGGAGAGAATAAAAGGGAAGGAATTGAAGAGGAAAAGAATTTGGATTCTCAGTTATTAGTCAGATTAAAGCCTGAAGGTATACGATTTGAAAAAAAGTTTCGAGAAAATTTTTTAAAATTTAGTTACTTTGGAAAAATCCGAAGCTGAACCTCTTTCTGACATTTCTGAACGTACTGAGGACATTTCTGAGAGGACGGGAGATTCTGGAAAAAGAGATCAGCTAAGACGAAAGGCTAGTTTTATGAGGGATTAGGGATTGTAAGTTTAAAAATAATTTTTTAGTCCCGCCTTGAACCCGAAACAATTGCTGCTGATTTGTCTTTTGTGCAGGACTTGGAGAGGGGTGAATCTGAAGCACAAATATTGGTGAGAGAAATACAGTACCTTCTGAATTTTTTCTCTCAAAATTTTGTAGGAAATGGATCGTTCAAATGCTTCTGGAATTTCTAGAAAAATCCCTGCAAAACCCTCAATCCTCCAAAAACTGGAGGAGTTTAAACTTGGTTTGCAGGAAAAACTAACTTCAGACTTATTTTCATTGGAACAATTATTCCAAGCACAATTCTCGGCACGTTGTGGGGCAAAATTAGAAATTGTTAAAAATCAGGAATGTGCGAATATAGAAGTGATTGTGGCTGATTTCCTTTTAGAAAAAGGTGATTTTTTTGTGATTAAGCGAAATTTGTGTAGCAGAAGAAATGTCCAAATAGAGGCTATCACACCAATGGACTCATAAGTTTTGATCGGAATACTAAACTACCAGAGCCTAGAATACCCTCAATACTAGATAGGCTTTAATTTTCTTCCTAAATTCGATCGGTCACTGGTAGAGGAATTGCCTACTGATCGTTATTTATGATATATTTTCTCTAAATTATTTAATATATACAGTGGAGAGCTCTGAGAAGAAACAGCTTTCAACGACCGAATCCTATCAAAAGCCGGAGTTCCTAGAAGAATTACCTTCTATTCCAATTGAACTTCTTGAAGGCGTAGATCGTCAAGTATTTCCAAAATGCACATTCAAAGGCTTTCCAACTCCAACAGTTACTTGGTGGATTGGTAACGAGCCCGTGTTGGGAAATAAGTAAGGAGATTTGAGAGACCGTTAAAACTTATTTATTAAAGATTTGTTGATTGTATTGTCGAGGAGGGCACCTCATACTTAGTTGCTCAAAAGGTGCCAATTGAATGGGATGGGAAAGAAATACATTGTGAACTTCATTCGAGTGCAGGAATGAGTACATCTAAAAGTGGAACTATTCGTGTTTTAGGTAGAAAATAATTTTTAGAAAAATGGGGGGGGGGGGTTAACCGTAAAATGGGGAATACGCTAATTTATTTTAAAATTAAAATCCAGGCAATAACGAAATTAATGTTGACATTGACCTTGAAGCAATAGAAGAGCCTCAATCTGAAGGTGTAGCCGAACATGCCCTCAAAACCTTCTACTCAGCACGTTATGGCCGCAAAAAACAACAAAAACCAACCTCAAAATTCTCTTTAGGAGAAAGAAAAATGTCTCGCGAAAGTCTCTCTACAGTCTTGGAAAGATTAGATGAAAGGAGGGGCCATCGTCCTACAACAATAACACGTCCAAGTTCATTTGGAGGGGTCCCTCCCTTCTTTATTGTTTCGTTGGCGCCGAGTTTGTATTTAAATGTGTGTTATTTTTAATTATTTTAAAAGGAAAATTTTAAATTTAAATGTAGGAGGGTCAGAGCATCACACTATCTGCAAAGTGTGTAGGAGCTAATCGGTTAATATGGAAAAAGGACTCGTCAATTATTGTTGGGAATGAAGAGTAAGTTTGGAATTTAATAATCAGAATTAAAAAATCAGAGTTTTTTTAATAAAATCAGAATTTTTGAAATAAAAAATCAGAATATTATTTTTAGTAAATACATTATCGATACGGTAATGTCAAGTGGAACTACTCGCTTAACAATACTAAATATAAATCTTCGTGATGAAGCGAGTTATACTTGTGAGGGTATAAATGAGTATGGGAGAGCTTCAACTGAATGCAGAATGACAACGGAATCGGGTGGGTTAAGAAATTTTGAAGCAAGCTAGTTTGAATCAAAATTCCGAAGCAAATTTGCTTAATGTATTCTATTTAAACTTTTATTAAATTACTTGAAGCAAAATATTTTAAATGTGAAACAAAAAATTTTTTTAGACGAAATGTGTGAAAATGAAGCAGATATCCTCATCTCTTGTAAGAAAATAGATTCAGAAGCACATATCGAAATAGGTGTATTAGAAGCAATAAAAGAGACTCAAGAAATGACAATAAAAGAAGATAAAAAGAAAATAAAGAAATCTGTGACATTTGAAGCAGAAGAAGTTAATTTGAGGGTAGATATTAATTTTGAGGATGTTGATGTTTTGGATGTAAATTTGTATGAATCATTTGAGGAAGTTGTTTCAGAAATAATTCAAGTTGGAGGAAAAAAGAAGGAAGAAGTTAAAATGGAAGAAAAAGAAACGAAATTGCTAACAGATTTTACTCTTGAAGTAGAAATTAATTATGAGACAACAGATATGCTTGAAATATTTTTGTATGAAACAATTGAATTTGTTGAAAGAGTAATAAGAAAGGGAGAGATAGTAATTGATGATCTAAAGCAGAAAGCCGATGCTGAGGCAAAACAAAAATCTGAACTTGAAGCAAAACAGAAACAAGAGAAGCAAAAGTTAGATGATGCTAAAAAGAAGGCTGAAACTGAAGCTAAGCAGAAGGCTGAAGCCGAGGCAACAAAACAAAAAGCAGCATCAAAGAAACTCGATGATTCGAAGAAAGATGAGGATGAGAAGAGAAAGAAGGAAGAAGCCTTAAAGAAACAACGTGAAGCTGAAGAAAAGGAAAAAGCCAAAAAACTGGCGGAAGAGAAAAAATTAAAGGAAGATGAAGAGAAGAGAAAGAAGGAAGATGAAGCTAAGAAGATGAGAGATGAATTATTGGCTAAGAAGAAGGATGAGGAAGCTAAGAAAAAAGACGTAAAAGAAGAGCCTCCAAAGAAACTCGATGATTCGAAGAAAGATGAGGATGAGAAGAGAAAGAAGGAAGAAGCCTTAAAGAAACAACGTGAAGCTGAAGAAAAGGAAAAAGCCAAAAAACTGGCGGAAGAGAAAAAATTAAAGGAAGATGAAGAGAAGAGAAAGAAGGAAGATGAAGCTAAGAAGATGAGAGATGAATTATTGGCTAAGAAGAAGGATGAGGAAGCTAAGAAAAAAGACGTAAAAGAAGAGCCTCCAAAGAAACTCGATGATTCGAAGAAAGATGAGGATGAGAAGAGAAAGAAGGAAGAAGCCTTAAAGAAACAACGTGAAGCTGAAGAAAAGGAAAAAGCCAAAAAACTGGTGGAAGAGAAAAAATTAAAGGAAGATGAAGAGAAGAGAAAGAAGGAAGATGAAGCTAAGAAGATGAGAGATGAATTATTGGCTAAGAAGAAGGATGAGGAAGCTAAGAAAAAAGACGTAAAAGAAGAGCCTCCAAAGAAACTCGATGATTCGAAGAAAGATGAGGATGAGAAGAGAAAGAAGGAAGAAGCCTTAAAGAAACAACGTGAAGCTGAAGGAAAGGAAAAAGCCAAAAAACTGGCGGAAGAGAAAAAATTAAAGGAAGATGAAGAGAAGAGAAAGAAGGAAGATGAAGCTAAGAAGATGAGAGATGAATTATTGGCTAAGAAGAAGGATGAGGAAGCTAAGAAAAAAGACGTAAAAGAAGAGCCTCCAAAGAAACTCGATGATTCGAAGAAAGATGAGGATGAGAAGAGAAAGAAGGAAGAAGCCTTAAAGAAACAACGTGAAGCTGAAGAAAAGGAAAAAGCCAAAAAACTGGCGGAAGAGAAAAAATTAAAGGAAGATGAAGAGAAGAGAAAGAAGGAAGATGAAGCTAAGAAGATGAGAGATGAATTATTGGCTAAGAAGAAGGATGAGGAAGCTAAGAAAAAAGACGTAAAAGAAGAGCCTCCAAAGAAACTCGATGATTCGAAGAAAGATGAGGATGAGAAGAGAAAGAAGGAAGAAGCCTTAAAGAAACAACGTGAAGCTGAAGAAAAGGAAAAAGCCAAAAAACTGGCGGAAGAGAAAAAATTAAAGGAAGATGAAGAGAAGAGAAAGAAGGAAGATGAAGCTAAGAAGATGAGAGATGAATTATTGGCTAAGAAGAAGGATGAGGAAGCTAAGAAAAAAGACGTAAAAGAAGAGCCTCCAAAGAAACTCGATGATTCGAAGAAAGATGAGGATGAGAAGAGAAAGAAGGAAGAAGCCTTAAAGAAACAACGTGAAGCTGAAGAAAAGGAAAAAGCCAAAAAACTGGTGGAAGAGAAAAAATTAAAGGAAGATGAAGAGAAGAGAAAGAAGGAAGATGAAGCTAAGAAGATGAGAGATGAATTATTGGCTAAGAAGAAGGATGAGGAAGCTAAGAAAAAAGACGTAAAAGAAGAGCCTCCAAAGAAACTCGATGATTCGAAGAAAGATGAGGATGAGAAGAGAAAGAAGGAAGAAGCCTTAAAGAAACAACGTGAAGCTGAAGAAAAGGAAAAAGCCAAAAAACTGGCGGAAGAGAAAAAATTAAAGGAAGATGAAGAGAAGAGAAAGAAGGAAGATGAAGCTAAGAAGATGAGAGATGAATTATTGGCTAAGAAGAAGGATGAGGAAGCTAAGAAAAAAGACGTAAAAGAAGAGCCTCCAAAGAAACTCGATGATTCGAAGAAAGATGAGGATGAGAAGAGAAAGAAGGAAGAAGCCTTAAAGAAACAACGTGAAGCTGAAGGAAAGGAAAAAGCCAAAAAACTGGCGGAAGAGAAAAAATTAAAGGAAGATGAAGAGAAGAGAAAGAAGGAAGATGAAGCTAAGAAGATGAGAGATGAATTATTGGCTAAGAAGAAGGATGAGGAAGCTAAGAAAAAAGACGTAAAAGAAGAGCCTCCAAAGAAACTCGATGATTCGAAGAAAGATGAGGATGAGAAGAGAAAGAAGGAAGAAGCCTTAAAGAAACAACGTGAAGCTGAAGAAAAGGAAAAAGGTAAAAAACTGGCGGAAGAGAAAAAATTAAAGGAAGATGAAGAGAAGAGAAAGAAGGAAGATGAAGCTAAGAAGATGAGAGATGAATTATTGGCTAAGAAGAAGGATGAGGAAGCTAAGAAAAAAGACGTAAAAGAAGAGCCTCCAAAGAAACTCGATGATTCGAAGAAAGATGAGGATGAGAAGAGAAAGAAGGAAGAAGCCTTAAAGAAACAACGTGAAGCTGAAGAAAAGGAAAAAGCCAAAAAACTGGCGGAGGAGAAAAAATTAAAGGAAGATGAAGAGAAGAGAAAGAAGGAAGATGAAGCTAAGAAGATGAGAGATGAATTATTGGCTAAGAAGAAGGATGAGGAAGCTAAGAAAAAAGACGTAAAAGAAGAGCCTCCAAAGAAACTCGATGATTCGAAGAAAGATGAGGATGAGAAGAGAAAGAAGGAAGAAGCCTTAAAGAAACAACGTGAAGCTGAAGAAAAGGAAAAAGCCAAAAAACTGGTGGAAGAGAAAAAATTAAAGGAAGATGAAGAGAAGAGAAAGAAGGAAGATGAAGCTAAGAAGATGAGAGATGAATTATTGGCTAAGAAGAAGGATGAGGAAGCTAAGAAAAAAGACGTAAAAGAAGAGCCTCCAAAGAAACTCGATGATTCGAAGAAAGATGAGGATGAGAAGAGAAAGAAGGAAGAAGCCTTAAAGAAACAACGTGAAGCTGAAGAAAAGGAAAAAGCCAAAAAACTGGCGGAAGAGAAAAAATTAAAGGAAGATGAAGAGAAGAGAAAGAAGGAAGATGAAGCTAAGAAGATGAGAGATGAATTATTGGCTAAGAAGAAGGATGAGGAAGCTAAGAAAAAAGACGTAAAAGAAGAGCCTCCAAAGAAACTCGATGATTCGAAGAAAGATGAGGATGAGAAGAGAAAGAAGGAAGAAGCCTTAAAGAAACAACGTGAAGCTGAAGAAAAGGAAAAAGGTAAAAAACTGGCGGAAGAGAAAAAATTAAAGGAAGATGAAGAGAAGAGAAAGAAGGAAGATGAAGCTAAGAAGATGAGAGATGAATTATTGGCTAAGAAGAAGGATGAGGAAGCTAAGAAAAAAGACGTAAAAGAAGAGCCTCCAAAGAAACTCGATGATTCGAAGAAAGATGAGGATGAGAAGAGAAAGAAGGAAGAAGCCTTAAAGAAACAACGTGAAGCTGAAGAAAAGGAAAAAGCCAAAAAACTGGCGGAGGAGAAAAAATTAAAGGAAGATGAAGAGAAGAGAAAGAAGGAAGATGAAGCTAAGAAGATGAGAGATGAATTATTGGCTAAGAAGAAGGATGAGGAAGCTAAGAAAAAAGACGTAAAAGAAGAGCCTCCAAAGAAACTCGATGATTCGAAGAAAGATGAGGATGAGAAGAGAAAGAAGGAAGAAGCCTTAAAGAAACAACGTGAAGCTGAAGAAAAGGAAAAAGCCAAAAAACTGGCGGAAGAGAAAAAATTAAAGGAAGATGAAGAGAAGAGAAAGAAGGAAGATGAAGCTAAGAAGATGAGAGATGAATTATTGGCTAAGAAGAAGGATGAGGAAGCTAAGAAAAAAGACGTAAAAGAAGAGCCTCCAAAGAAACTCGATGATTCGAAGAAAGATGAGGATGAGAAGAGAAAGAAGGAAGAAGCCTTAAAGAAACAACGTGAAGCTGAAGAAAAGGAAAAAGCCAAAAAACTGGCGGAAGAGAAAAAATTAAAGGAAGATGAAGAGAAGAGAAAGAAGGAAGATGAAGCTAAGAAGATGAGAGATGAATTATTGGCTAAGAAGAAGGATGAGGAAGCTAAGAAAAAAGACGTAAAAGAAGAGCCTCCAAAGAAACTCGATGATTCGAAGAAAGATGAGGATGAGAAGAGAAAGAAGGAAGAAGCCTTAAAGAAACAACGTGAAGCTGAAGAAAAGGAAAAAGCCAAAAAACTGGCGGAAGAGAAAAAATTAAAGGAAGATGAAGAGAAGAGAAAGAAGGAAGATGAAGCTAAGAAGATGAGAGATGAATTATTGGCTAAGAAGAAGGATGAGGAAGCTAAGAA